CCTTGGGGTACCTCGTATTCCAGCAGAGTGTTGTGTGCCACCCCGCTGTAATGTAGAAGCTCTGGTGTCTGTCTGAGAGGTAAGATGCAAACCATTTGTCCTCAATATCTACGTCTGAGTGAAGAGGGAAAAGAGTATCATGTGGTCGATCGTATCAAAGTCCAGGAGTACTAAAAGTGCTACTTTTCCGTGTCTACCCCCCTTCTGATATCGTCCAGCATCCTAACAACGGCGGTCTCTGTGCTGTGCTTGGGTTTGTACGACGACTGGAAGCGTTCTTGTCGTTTGTGGAGTTCCAGGTGTGAAGAGAGACGGTAACAAACAGCTCTTTCAATCAGCTTATTCATGAATGGCAGATTAGACACAGGCCGGTTCTTATAGGCTTCTTTGTCCAATCCAGGTTTCTTCAGGAGTGGCTTGGCAATTGCTGTCTTTTGGTTAGGTGGCATTACATCTGATGTCAGACTGGTATTAACAAGTCTAGTAATTGCTTGGAGAAGAATGTCAAGATTTTCATAGACAAGCCTTGTTGGGATTGCGTCCCAGAGCTTTTGATGTTGGCTTGGTCGTTTTCATGAATGACATCTCCTCTTCCTCTGTGAATTGCTGAAGGGTACTAAGATGGTCGATAAAACGAGTCCTCCAACTCTTTGCGGATTATTTTCTATTTTGTTGTTGAAGTAGTAAGAAAAAGATTGAGCGATTGACTGCATATTGTCTCCAAACGGAGAGGTTTCATGTTATTTTTGCCCATTAAGGAGAATAGAAGCTTGTAGAGTTCAGCAGGGTTTGAGGAAGCGTAATTTATTTTGATGTTCATCAAGTGATGTGTTTTAAAGTGTTTTAAAAGAGATTAACAGTTACGGGTCAGTGATTGTGCAGGGTGAATTTGTTACCCCTGCTTTGGTTGTGACACAAGTTCACCCAGCACTCAAATCATGGCCAAACGGAACAATGCCATGACCACCGGTGAACATATTTTACAAGACAAACTAAGTGAACTATATTCATATCATTTGTTATAAACTGAATTTTAATTGAGTGAACTATGCCAATGACAAGTATTATAAAGTATGGAGATTTCCTTGTTTCTCCATTGCACTATGACAAACGTTCAAGTAAGCACTTGTTTCATTCCCAATGTAACGCGGCGGTCAGTACTTGGTCTACAGGGGCTGTAACTTCAGTATCAAGAACAGGAGGGTGGAGGGTAATCATGGCCGTGAAGTGTGGAACCATTTCGGAACGGAATGTCCTAGGACAACAAATCATGTGGAGTGGTGGCATCGTTAAATGAGTGATGTGTTTGCCGAAAGTCACCCCAACATTTTTAAGAAGGAGCAAGTCTGGGTAGAGGCATATGTTCTACAGCAAAGAAACGGTGCCAGACTTTCACCTAGGAAGAGAAGATATGTTGAACTGAACCATGCCTTGGAAATGTACAAGAGAGAACTAACAACTGGTGCCAGAACTGTCATGTCATACATTGACTCAGTATCACATGTAACTGGATATTAAGTGTGAAAGGTATGCTGCGAAATATTGATGTAATATGTGATATGATGTTGATGTTGTGTTAAGTTGTATAACTGGATAACTTGTATATGTGATAAATAACTACAGACACATTGAGTCAAAAGTAGTAGTATTTTATCCCATTTGGTCCCGGATACTATTTCACAGGGAACAAAATAAGGGATTAAAGGGGATTATCACACCCCAGTGATTTCTTCTACTGAAACAATAGGAGCTGGGTAAGTGGGAAGACCCCATTGTAATTGGTAAAATGGGATATTGTGCTGCCTGGGATTGTACGGTGTCATCCAATAATGGAAACAGGGATTACGGACGAGGCAGACAGTTTAGGCGGCAGTTTTCGATTGACAAAATCTGTTACCGTAGAACGCTGATTTGGTAACAAAATAATTTCATGTTCATTTTATAATATTCCATTTATACTACATCATTACATGTTACATCTTACTGCCAGTGGATATTTAGCATTGATTAAATCAAGTCCGATTGTGATGAAATATATTTTAGCAAAATCAGTAAGAGATTTCTCATGAGCTTGAAAATGTTTCGCTATAACGTTCGTTCTGGTTTGGAGCCCCAAATACTGCAGTCTACCGGGTAAAAACGTTATTTATAAATAACGGCAAATGATGAACTCCCTGTTTCATTCATTGTTTTATTTTTGTTGAGTTACGCTACTCGCAATTTGTCAGTATTGTGTGCCATGAAAATTGTTCTGTAATCTCATTGGCTGGACTGATGTTATGACTTAGTGGCCAAAGGTACAGATAAGTTGCGTATCTGCGTAAATTACGCAAATATTTATGTGAAAACTCAATTCCTATTAAGTCTATTGCGTACCAGTACGCTTGGATTTTTGTAAATACCCAATAAATGAGATCTTACATGCGTGCACACAAAAATGTCAAATCTTAGCTTGCGTACATGTGGATAGATAAAATAACTTATGTATATTGAGAGGTTCTATTTCAGGACAGGGAGTTTGCAACTTGCAGTATTTCTGATCGTTTCTCATATTACAGATCAAATATAAATAACAAACACAAACAACTTTATTATTTTTTACAATTAATGGAAAATGGCACAATACCCAATTAAGTTTGAGTGAGGTGGGTACAATTTGTTTGGTTACACAAAGGAAAATTAGGATACCCATTTGGGACGAATACAAGAGAGTACATAACTCAATGACCCAAAAAGTTATCTGTAGCTCTGTAGTGCCATAACTATTTCCATACGCTAAAACAAGGGAAATATACATTGTCCTGACTACAGTCTGTTTGGTTATTTTGGAGACAAACCTTATAAAACTTTTTTCCAGAGTTGGTCTGATGTTTTCATCACATTCTGCGTTGAAATGAATGTTTGATCATGAACCGATTTGGAGTCAGATTGTGATTCATCGGTATCATTTTGACTCAAACAGACTATAGTATTTTATAATTCACTAACTTTCCGAACATAAATAATCTGCGTCGCTTATGTTATATCTGCTTGACCAGGCTGGGATCTTGTATGGAGACAAAGATAATTTATTAATGAGAACTTGGATCCTACTTTTCTTTAACGAAATAATTCCTTGAAACAGTGTAATCTTTCTAGCAGACAATTTCTATTTTCCCCCTTCTAAAGCACAAGTATTTTTGAAAACATTTTCTGGGACAATCAATTTGTTTTGATTTTTTAAAATCCTGCAGTGACCCGTTTATCACAAAAGGAACTGCAATCACATTTGGAGTTTTGGGGGTCTTAGGGATTGGTCATTTATTGCAGGAGTGGGTGTTCTGGTTGAAACTGTATCACATTTTGTCTTCATCTCCACTGGATGATCTCTTGCAAGATGTAAAATCGGTTCATATTGATACAGACAACCATCCATGTCAAAAATGACATCAAGGAACATATACTCATGCCAATAAGGGTTGTCACTCCCTTCATTTTTTTATCGGAGGGTGTGTGTGGGGGTCGGGGTGGGGAGGGGTGACAACTATTATTGGCATGAATATATTTTACTGCTTCAAAATCTATGGTCAGGGGCGTAGGAACGGTTTTCAGAGCGGGGGTGGGGCTAAGTATTGAAAATCAAAATGAAATTGTAGTTAAGGTAGATCAGATATTGTTTCGTCTTTAAACACCCACCACCAACTACAGCTCTGATTAAGCAAAGTCAAGATTTTCCTTCATTCTCCATCTCTTCGGGGTTCTTTCTCCATCTGTTTGTTTTTATCAACATTACTTTATGTCAGAGACTGAACGTTAGTTTACAGTTTGTGGCCATATGATGAATACAACTGGTAAATACTGACCATACGACCCCTACTTAATCTGCAAGAGGAATGTAAACTATGGACCTATTTTTTCTGTTTCTCATTTCTCACCCGCCCTGAATTTTGAGTTGACATTTAAAACAATAAAAAAAGTTTTCTTTTCTTAAATTTTACCAGCGGCAATTTATGCCCTGACATATTAACAATTTACTCATATTCCTACACATTTATAAAGAACTAGGTCAGCCGATCTAACTTAGAAGACAAAAGACTATGGCTAAATAATCAAACTAATTAATAAAATCATAAAACAAGATTCCACACAATCAATGAAAAACCTATTTAATTGTATTAACATGTATTTATTCATTCACTCGCATTCTTGCTAGTTTAGTAAGTAAATGAGTTGGGTTTTACACCGCTTTTAGGAATATTCCTGGGCGACACCCAAAATGGGCTTCTCACATTGTACCCATGTTGGGAACTGAACCCGAGCCTTCGGCGTGAGGAGCGAACGCCTTAAGAACTGAGCTACCTTTTTTTACAATATTTCCTGGACAATTACTTTATTATTTGAAAACTATTTGATTTTTTAAAAAAGAAATCTTATTCTACAATTCTTCAGAAATATTATTCTCTGTTATTCTGCAAGTAACAGATTTCTCAATATGTGGGAATCCTGGTCAGCGCTATACGTTTACTAATATGTAGAAAAGTAATTTCAATAAAAGTATATCAATAGCTCCCAAAACTTTAGCCAAGAAAAATCAAAGGACGAAAAGTCTGCCTCATGTGCAAAGTTTGAAACCTAAAGGTCAGCGTCATGTGCAGACATCGGAAAATCTGCAGTGTTGTAGAATGCGCGTTTGACTCTTTGCCGATCCGTGAAAGAATTTAGATCTCATCTTACTGTGAGCCTTAAGTAAACCTACACCAAAGCAAACAAGTGGTCGGCCATGCGCGATAGAGGGGAAGTACAACGTGACACATGTTGTCGCTGTTATAGTCCATTTCCTCAAATGGGGATATCATTCTACACTTCTTGAACGCCGTGACTATGGAATACAAAATAATGCCATGAAATGCTACTTTTGATGACCGTTAGATCTCAGATTCGTGAAGATGGATTATTTGCCCTCCTCAGCGTTCTGAGAATTTGCATTTGGAAATTAATTGTCATGAATATGGTAGATTAATCCTTGCTATCAGCAGGCAATGTTGAAAGGCCGCACGATGTCACATATGCGTCGGATGTACGCGATGATGTCGGGGGAGAGTACAACCCAGAAGTTGGCCAGAAAGATTACAAAAGACCTGTGATATGTGAGTAGACGTATCATGTTCCTTCTATACACATTTAACTAAGAGATGTGGACGCCATTGTACATGTACTTTACGAAGTATTGACCCACTAAATTAGTTTACTGTCTACTCGTCCTCAGGTGAGGAGCGGATCAATGCAAACAACGCCGTAGAATAATGCACCTCGAATATCTTCCACCAACAGAATCCATGTGGTGTAAAGGGGAACAATAACGATGTAAATCAGCCCGTAATTGGTGGTGCAATTAAAATCTATGATGACTCCTACTGGTTGCTAAATAGCTTCTAACAGTAGCACCCTCCGCTCACACAGGTTATTCAGTAAGGTCTTACTTACAAAACTGTAATGTTTTGAGCCAATGGTGGTACCAATCAAACAGATGAATATTAATTCAAGTTTTCCACAGTAAGATATCGTTTCCCGCAAAATATTAAAAATGTAATCTACTCGTTTCTTGCGTAGAAATGAACGGGTCATATTTTATGAAGTTATTTTTGTACATTTTAATACATATGTTTTCACTATATTTTTACCTATGTAGTAGATGTGCATCATTTTATCATTTCTAACAGTAAGTATAAAATATTGCCTTCACTAAATCTTTAGAATTAACTAATCAGAACATGAAGAATGAGGACTATTTTTTATGGATATACAACTCCTTTATTCTGTAAAGGCGACGTTTCGACATAGATTCTAATGTCGTTGTCAAGCAAATGAATCTATGTCGAAACATCGCCTATGAAAAATAGTCTTCATTCTTCATCTGCCCAACTTCTAGAATGCCAATCAAAGTAATCAGAACATGTCTCACAGTCTGTATGGTTCCAGGTCTTGCCATCTTGGTGCTTTGTGTCTGCTTCATTGTGTTCATGAGCAAGCCTTCATATGAATGTATGTAGCATTTACCATTTTATATCATTTATTATATTTAATAATGCTTAATTTGCTGACAAATATATAAAAAATAATGAATTAAACGATTGTAGCTCATTTCCACATATTGAAGAAGAAGATAAAATTTGTCACGAAGAAGTTTATTTAATAAAATATGAAGAATAATCATTAAATCGACGTCTATATGTCGTAAAATCAAGTTAGCAATGTTGAATAAGTGCCTCTCTATGGTGTTCTCATCGCTTCTGATCAAAGCATACATGTGTGAGATATACAATAGATTTGCAGTAAGACTTGACAAAATGTACTTCTTTTCTTACAGACGAATACATAGATTTGTCTCATCTTAGAAATATACCAGAAGAAATAGAACCAGGTAATAAAACTTCACATTTTTGGCAATGGCGCTCTTGCTTTTGTATGGTGATGATGTAAGTGATAAACCCATAACATGCATTCATACATACATACAAATACGTGTATAGCGCCAATATCCGTAATCCGCTCAAAGGCGCTCTGGCTCTAAGATGGTCTAGATATCACATAGAGTTCAAATGCTTCAGCAAAGAGACACGTCTTCAGATTTGATTTAAAAACAGCTAAATCTGGTTGTGTTCTGACGTGAGATGGAAGATTGTTCCAGAGATGAGGGCCAGTCGTCTCGAGTGACCTGTCACCATATGTTTTTGTCCTAGTCACAGGAATTGTCAAAAGACACTGGTCATTTGATCGGAGTGAACGTACAGGAGTATAACGGTGGAACAGATCACAGAGGTACTGAGGAGCTAGACCATGTAAACTTTTGAAAACAAGGAGTAGAGTTTTATATTTATGCGGTAGTGGACTGGAAGCCAATGAAGTGAGTGAAGAACGGGAGTAATGTGGTCTGATTTCTTTGACAGAGAGACCACTCTGGCTGCAGTATTCTGCACCTTCTGAAGCTTGTGTGTAGGATAATTTGGGAGGCCCACACGAATTTGGGATAACCACACGAATTCACTACTAAAAGCAGTCCAATGTCCGATAACAAGTATGACATATTTGAGCATGAGGTAATGAATCACAATGAAGTAGCGCTGACACCAGGTACCTCATGGGTCAGAAACACATGCAAAGGTACGTCAAAATTTGCTGTTCTTTTGAATGCTGTAATCTTGATCATCTTACTGTCAGAATTATCCCTATACGCACACCTGCACACACACACATACATGTACACGAAAGCACTCACACACACGATACTGTAATACCACTGTAATTTCGTTTGATTTCAGTTATATTCGACAATATCACCTTTCACAAGTTGTCTCATCTTGGAAATGTACAAGAAGAACGTCAAACAGGTAATGCACGTTTTTTCTGTATATACCTCCTTATCACAACTATACTTTACATGCTGTACCACTCTATTGTTTGTGCTCTATCACTATTGATTGTGCTGTATCGATATTGTTTGTACTGTATCACGATTGTTTGTGCTGTATCACCCTAGATTGTGCTGTATCGCTATTGTTTGTGCTCCATCACTATTGTTTGTGCTGTATCACTCTATTGTTTGTGCTGTATCACCATAGATTGTGCTGTATCGCTATTGTTTGTGATCTATCACTATTGTTTGCGCTGTATTACTCTATTGTTTGTGCTGTATCACCATTGATTGAGCTGTATCGATATTGTTTGTGCTGTATCACTATTGTCTGTGCTGTATCACTATTGTTTGTGTTGTATCAATCTATTGTTTGTGTTGTATCACTATTCTTTGTGCTGTATCAATCTATTGTTTGTGTTGTATCACTATTGTTTGTGATGTATCATTCTATTGTTAGTGCTGTACAACTATTCTTTGTGATGGATCACTATTGTTTGTACTGTACCACTATTGTTTGTGTTGTATCACTCTATTGTTTGTACTGTATCACTCTGTTGTTTATGTTGTACAACTATTATTTGTGCTGTATCACTATATTGTTTGTGCTGTATAACTCAATTCTTTGTGCTTTAACGCTCTATTCCTTCTGCTTGATAACTTTTGAGTGTGCTGTATCACTCTATTGTTCGTGCTGTATCACTATTGTTTCTGCTGTATCACTATTGTTTGTGTTGTATCAATGTATTGTTTGTGTTGTATCACTATTGTTTGTGATGTATCATTCTATTGTTAGTGCTGTACAACTATTCTTTGTGCTGTATCACTCTGCTGTTTGTGTTGTATCACTATTGTTTGTGATGTATCATTCTATTGTTAGTGCTGTACCACTATTCTTTGTGCTGTATCACTCTATTGTTTGTGCTGTATCACTCTGCTGTTTGTGTTGTACCACTATTGTTTCTGCTGTATCACTCTATTGTTTCTGCTTGATCAATCTATTGTTTGTGCTGGACCACTCTATTGTTTGTGCTGTACCACTATTGTTTGTGCTTTATCACCATTGTGTGTGCTGTGTCACTCTATTGTTTGTGCTGTATCACTCTTTTGTTTGTGCCTTATGACTCTATTGTTTGTGCTTTATCACTACTGAGTGTGCCGTATCACTCTATTGCTTGTGCTGTACCACTATTGTTTGTGATGTATCAGTATTGTTTGTGCTGTATCACTCTATTGTTTGTACTGTATCACTCCATTCTTTGTGCTTATCACTCTGTTGTTTGTGCTGTATCACTATTGTTTGTGTTGTATCACTCTATTGTTTGTGCTGTATCACTATATTGTTTGTGCTGCATCACCATTGATTGTGGTGTATCGATATTGTTTGTGCTGTATCACACTGTTGTTTGTGCTGTATCACTATTGGATGTGCTTAATCACTCTATTGTTTGTGCTGTACGACTCTGTTGTTTGTGCTTGATCACTCTTTTGTTTGTGCTGTATAAGTCTATTGTTTGTGAGGTGAGGTGAGGTGAAATTGGGTTTTACGTCGTGCTTAAGAATATTTCGCTCATATGACGACGTGCATGCGTGTGTATGTGTTTGTGCGGCTGCTTGTACTAGCCCAGACTGAAGCTGGTTTTATAGTGCTAGCCCACTGAGATACCATGCCGCAGTGAAGCATGAATACCCCACTTCAGACACATTATACTGACTCCGAGCCGACCAGTCCTTGTTGTACCCATTATTGCCGAGCGCCAGGCAGGGACCAACAAGTACCATATTTTAAGGTCTTTTGGTATGACGCGGTCGGGGATCGAACCCGCGACCTTCCGCTCTCCTGGCGGACGCTCTAACCACTACACAACGGAGGCGGTCCTCTATTGTTTGTGCTGTATCACTATTGTTTGTGCTGTATCACTCTTTTGGTTGTGCTGTATCACTATTGGGTGTGCTTTATCACTCTATTGTTTGTGCTGTACCCCCTCTTGTTTGTGCTGTATCACTCTATTGTTTGTGCTGTACGACTCTATTGTTTGTGCTTTATCACTCTTTTGTTTGTGCTGTATCACTCTATTATCTGTGCTCTACCACTTTGTTGCTTGTGTGACCCCACATGCAGTAGAGAGGTGTAACTTTAGCCGTGGATCTATACACCACAACGTGTCGAGTGGTAGACCACAACCAAGAGAGAAATGTAGGTTTAGCAGGAGAGTGGTACACCACAAGCAGTAGAGTGGTACACCACAAGCAGTAGAGTGGTGCAATACAAGCAGTAGAGTGGTACACCACAAGCAGTAGAGTGGTACAGCACAAGGACTAGAGCGGTGCACCACAAGCAGTAGTGTGGCACACCACAAGCAGTAGAGTGGTGCACCACAAACAGTAGAGAGGTATGGTACAAGCAGTAGAGTGGTGCACCACAAGCAGTGGAGTGGTACACAACAAGCAGTAGAGGGGCGCACCACAAACAGTAAAAGGGGTATGGCCAAAGCAGTAAAGTGGTACACCACAAGCATTAGAGTGGTATGGCACAGGTAGTAGAGTGGATTGCCACAAGCAGTAGAGTGGTACACCACAAGCAGTAGAGTAGTATGGCACAAGCAGTAGAGTGGTATGGCACAAGCAGTAGAGTGGTATGGCACAAGCAGTGAAGTGGTACACCACACGCAGTAGAGAAGTATGGCACAAGCAGTAGAGTGGTACACCAAAAGCAGTAGAGTGGTATGGCAAAGGCAGTAGAGTAGTATGGCACAAGCAGTAGAGTGGTATGGCACAAGCAGGAGAGTGGTACACCACAAGCAGTAGAGTGGTACACCACAAGCAGTAGAGTGGTACACCACAAGCAGTAGAGTGGTGCAATACAAGCAGTAGAGTGGTACACCACAAGCAGTAGAGTGGTACACCACAAGGACTAGAGCGGTGCACCACAAGCAGTAGTGTGGCACACCACAAGCAGTAGAGTGGTACACCACAAGCAGTGGAGTGGTACACCACTCGCTGTAGAGAGGTATGGCACAAGCAGTAGAGTAGTACACCACACAAGCAGTGGAGTGGTACACCACAAGCAGTAGAGTGGTATGGCACAAGCAGTGAAGTGGTACACCACACGCAGTAGAGAAGTATGACACAAGCAGTAGAGTGCTATGGCACAGGTAGTAGAGTGGTATGGCACATGCAGAGGAGTGGTACGCTAAAGGCATTAGAGTTGTGCACCAGAAGCAGTAGAGTGGTGTACCACAAGCAGTAGATTGGTACACCACAAGCAGTAGAGTGGTGCACCACAAACAGTAGAGAGGCATGGCCCAAGCAGTAGAGTACTATGGCACAAGCAGTAGAGTGGTATGCCACAAGCAGTAGAGTGGTATGGCACAAGCAGTGAAGTGGTACACCACACGCAGTAGAGAAGTGTGGCACAAGCGGTAGAGTGCTATACCACAGGCAGTAAAGATGTAGGGCCCAAGCAGTAGAGTGGTACACCAAAAGCAGTAGAGTGGTTTGGCAAAGGCAGTAGAGCGGTATGGTACAAGCAGTGGAGTGGTACACCAGAAGTAGTCTAGTGGTATGCCACAAGCAGTGGAGTGGTACACCACACGCAGTAGAGAAGAATGGCACAAGTAGTAGAGTGCTATGACACAGACAGTAGAGTGGTATGGCACAAGCAGAACAGTGGTACGCTAAAGGTAGTAGAGTGGTGCACCACAAGCAGTAGAGTGGTACACCACAAGCAGTAGAGTGGTACACCACAAGGAGTAGAGCGGTGCACCACAAGCAGGAGAGTGGTACACTACAAGCAATAGAGTGGTACACCACAAGCAGTAGAGTGGTGCACCACAAGCAGTAGAGGGGTACACCAGAAGCAGTAGAGTGGTGCACCACAAACAGTAGAGCGGTATGACCCAAGCAGTAAAGTGGTACACCACAAGCAGTAAAGTGATATGGCACAAACAGTAGAATGGTATGGCACAAGCAGTAGATTGGTACACCACTAGCTGTAGAGCGGTATGGCACAAGCAGTAGAGTGGTAAACCACAACTAGTGGAGTGGTATGCCGCAAGCAGGGGAGTGGTATGGTAAAAGCAGTTGAGAGGTATGGCACAAGCAGTGGAGTGGTATGGCACAAGCAGTGGAGTTTTATTGCACAATGCGTAGAACGGTATGGCACAAGCAGTAGAGTGGAATGGCCCACGTAGTAAAGTGGTACAGCACAAGCAGTAGACTGGTATGTCACAAGCATTAGAGTGCTACACCACAAGCAGTAGAGTGGTATGGCCCAAGCAGTAGAGTGGTACACCACAAGCAGTAGAGTGGTACACTACAAGCAGTAGAGTGGTACACCACTAGCAGTAGTGTGGTATGGCACAAGCAGTAGAATTTTATGACACAAGCGGAGCGGCGAACCACTAGCAGTAGTGTGGTATGACACAAGCAGTAGTGTGGAATGGTACAAGCAGTAGAGTGGTACACCACAAGCAGTAGAGTGGTACACCACAAGCAGTAGAATTGTATGACACAAGCAGTAGAGCGGCACACCACTAGCAGTAGCGTGGTATGGCATAAGCAGTGGAGTGGTGTGCCACAAGCTGTAGAGTGGTACACCACAAGCAGAAGAGTGGTACACCACAAGCAGTTGAGTGGTACACCACAAGCAGTATAGTGGTAAACCCAAGAATGGTATGACACAAGCAGTAGAGTGGTACACGACCAGCAATAGTGTGGTATGGCACAAGCAGTAGAGTGGTATGGCACAAGCTGTAGAGCGGTATGGAACAAGCAGTAGAGTGGTATGGCACAAGCAGTAGAGTGGTATGGCACAAGCAGTAGAATGGTATAGCACAAGCAGTAGAGTGGTATGGCACAAGAAGTAGAGCGGTACACCAGAATCAGTAGAGTTGTACACCACAAGCAGTGGAGTGGTATGGCACAAGTAGTAGATTGGTACACTACAAGCAGTAGAGCGGTATGGCACAAGCCGTA